TGCGGACTATAAACTTCATTTCTGCATCAGCTGGCTGGATTCTTGTCCTCTGAGGCATTAAATAATTTGTTTTCTTAACATGCCTTCTACAGAATAGTATTCAGTTGACACTATGTTTCTAAATTCAGACTTTGCTGGAGAAGTTGAAGTCCTTATATTCAAATTTGGAAGGGCTCCCTCCTGATCGGATAGTTCCAACAGTTGGGCTTAATATTGGTCGAATTGAGGCTTCAAATGCAAAACTTGTTTTTTGGGACCTAGGAGGGCAGGTATGTTCTTTGCTTGCAAATCTTGTTATTATGGAATTTAACGGCAAGTTTCATGGCTTATTAATAAATTTGGAACTTATGTTGTTGGTGATATAGATTATATTTATTCTGGTTCGATGAGTAATTTGACTAGGGAAATGAATTATTTTTCCTAATTTAAGTATATTTGTAGCTGTAGCTCAATCACATATTTTAATAATATTTCTTGCACCTAGTAAGTTTTTTTGAACCCCATTTCTCTTTCATTCTGCATAATGGAAGTCAGCAATAATTTTTTACTCCGGATATAGTTGACCCTAAGGACTCGACAAAATAGATTAATTTATTGTGTGATGAGTTCTGATTTTATCTGTTGCCTCCTGGTAAAGAATATATCTATCGTCTGAACTTGTGAGTATAAATCATCTTTCTAATGGTGTCACTGCTATTCTGTTATTAAGAGCATAAATTTTCATTGAATGTATAAATTGTGTAAAATTGATTATTAGCAAATTAGCATCAGGGTGATGCTGAAAAATTACTTTGTCTATTATTTTATTGCATGCTTGATAAGAAACATGCAATTAATTGTTAATATCCCTCAGTTTGCTAGAGGCCATTATACAGGATTCTTGACATTTTTAGGCCCGAAGTGAAGAGTCCCTTTTTATTTGTATTATTTAAGTGAGGAACCAAGGACATGTTTGAACAAATGATTCAGGTGAACTGCAAGGTAAATAATGACAGGGTCCGAAAGAGTAATAACTGGAGCGATGCCATCGAGGCAAGCTGGTTTATCAATTGGTATTAAATAAACATTCACTTTATAACTGGAGCAATGTCATTGAGGCAACCTGGTTTATCAATTGGTGATAAATAAACATTCACCTACTCTCGCGTCCCTAGAATTTTCATCTCCATTGACTTGTTAGCCCGAGTCACTGAATCAGCATTTTTTAAAACAATAGAATACCTCTCTTACCATTCCTGACATATTGGAGAAAATTCATAATCTTCTATATTCGGTATATTAACCTTGTGAGGATGTTAGTTTGCTGCTTTAGTTCATAAGGTACCAAAAGTTATCATGTGATGCTATTGGAAGCCTAAGTACAATTTTTTAGTTCTATCAACAGGAACACTTGAACAAGGTTCATAAAGTGAGGTTCTAGATTTTATATCTGAAAGTCAATTATCAGAAATTTTTGGGTCATCAAACTAAGATTAAGTATTTACTTATTCTGGCAGATTGGTCTACGCACGATATGGGAGAAATATTACGAGGAGGCACATGCTATAGTGTATGTTATTGATGCTGCTTGTCCATCATCATTTGAGGATTCTAAATCTGCATTAGGTAAATCCATGTCTGATGATATTTCATGTGGTAGATTTTTGTTCCTTTTTCCATCCATGAAAATTGGCTGTGACAAATTTTATAGACTGTGGTGATGTAACAATTTCTAACTAGAATCTTGAAATTGTGGAACAGAAAAAGTACTTAGACATGAGGATTTGCGAGGTGCACCACTTCTGATACTAGCAAACAAGCAGGTTACAAAAATTTAGATTTCAGTACCAATCTTGTGTTTCAATTTTGTTTTATATCCAAAGATATCTTTTGTAATTTGATTTCTTTGAGTTAGTACAGGTATGCTATTGAAAGTATTTATTTTTTTATTTTCAAACTGTTTGTATGTAGAAAATTTGGATTTTTGGTTCCTTTATTTTGCCTATATTTTTCCATTCAATAAACGGAAAGGTGTTATGTGGTTTTGGTATATGTTTAACTAAGAATCTAGTTTGACTAAATATGCGATTCTAGTTGAATAAGAAAATAGCAAATTTGAAGCAAGTTTAATAATAATATGCAACTATATTTTTTTTCTGTGGTACTGAATTTGATAAAACTGAGCCCAAATTTTATGAAAGGACAAGATCAAAACAACTAATCCTGTTTCAAAATTTTGTTCATGTTCCTTAAGGTTTTATTAGCTTCAATTTCTTTCTCAGCCTGCAGTGATATTTCTGGTTTAGTATATTAATTCACATATGGGGCTTTAGATTTTTTCCTATTGTGTGCCATGCAAATGATACTAATCTCCTGTAAGTCATCTTGTTACTTGATGCAAGTAGGATTTTGCTGACTGCTAATATAAACAGGATCATCCTGGAGCTGTTTCAGCAGAAGAACTTGCAAGATATTTGGATCTGAAAGAGTTAAACGAAAGGCTTTACATGTTTGAAGCTGTATCTGCATATAATGGGTTAGTATATTTTGCTTTGATCTTCTTATTTTCTTATGTAGCAAAAACATGGCTGCATGCAACCGGTATTATAACGTATTTTCTGTGGTGCTGTTTTGATCATTAAATATTTACCAATGTTTCAAATGATTACTAGGATGTCTCACTGAAGTGTTGGCCTGGCAGCATATTCAGATTGGATCACCAATAGGCGCGTAATACTAAACAAGCCAAATTTCACTTGAGAAAAGTTTTGAGGATATAGTTTGGCTATGTGAATTTTGAACCATTGAGTTCAGTAGTTACCCCTTGTCACAACATGAGTCCTCTTTGTTCTATCCCTCCCCTTTCTTCTTTCTTCTTGTTCCCTTCCACCTTCAATTATTCCTTATCCCTCTCCTTTCTTGTCTCTATGACCACTTCACCATCCTTTCCTTTCCCCAGGTTCCACTTCGTACCACCAGTCCACCCACATCTGCAAACCTGCTTGTCCCTCTCCACCTTCCCCTCACCCTCCTAGACATCAACTTAGTCGCCTTCCTCTTCTTTGACCACTGTTCTCTCATCTATCTCATTTATCTGGTTGACTATAAATTTTGACCCAAATGCGAAGATGAACCTCTGTGCTGATGGGTTTTGGGCCATAAAGTTTTGGAAGGTGGATCTCATTGTATATCTACTTGGTTATATGCATAGTTGAAGTGGCAAAATGTGGGAAGTAGTACAGGGTTCTTGGGAAACCACAGGCTTTGATATCCTAGACTGTTTTGGGAATAAGAGTCAATTTGAGAGTGCCACTCATGTTTGACTTCAGTCTATTAACTTTGTTTTACACTCCGCAGAACAGGGATTAAATTTGCTATCAACTGGTTGGTCGATGTGATGGAAAGAAGTAAGCGCACGGAGATGCTCAGAGTTCGTGCAGGTGCATCCGGGCAGATTTAGCAACTTTATGGACCTTTGATATCAAAGTCTTTAGCAGTTGGATGTATATGGATATTTTGGGAACTACATGTGATCTCGTGGCAAACTGTAGTTGAGCTCCCTGTCAATCTTATCATTCAGTATTTTACCTTTACACAGCCAGATGAACTGGTTGTGCAGGTGATCGTTTGGTTGTTCATCTGCGTAGCCTGGCCTGCGCAAATCTGTAAAGAGTGAGTCTTCTTATATCTGAGACACTATATTCAATTCAGCATCGCAAATATATTTGAAGTCAAAAACACTTAGGCATGTTGAAAATTTCAATTTAATAGCATTAGAAATGAATTTGTACTTTTCTTATGTAGATATGCATTTGATTGTACAATGAAATGGTCTGCTCATCCAAAGAATTGTTTGAACTATAGATGAACTCGAATCTTCAATCTTGTGTTGGACAATATTTTGTCGAGCAGGTGAACTGGATTATGCTAACAAGCTGGATCTCATCGCCCAAGTCCCGGCGACATTGGAAGTTGTATTTTACCAGATGCACTGCAACATTGACTTGATCACCGGGAAGTCTGTGTTATGAAAACTACAAGAAAGTAAATATATATTGACACACACTTGTTTGAGCCCACTCAATGAAATGTGTGTATGAATAATTATTTGTGCGATCAAGATTTGTATGGATTGACTTTCTACTACGTGCATTTGAACAGGACCCAAACTCCGAGAGAAGACACAAGATTATGACTTGGTTCACACATTACTCTTCTCCAATACGTGGCTTCACATGTCTGCTTGTTTTATACTCGATGCGTGTTGGAAACGATGATGAATGGGTTTCGGTTTAGGTCTGCTTGATGTTATGATGCTTCTACGTGGCCGTGTAGAATGTTGTGACATTTATTAGTTAGACATGTGGGAACTCCTTTATTTGCTGGCTACGTATAAATAATTGTGTGCTAATCCAACTAAGTTAATGGAATACCAGCTCAACTTGAGTACAGAGTGTGCATTAATTAGTCCTCAACTGCAGTTAATTTAATGCTCGGGGAACATGTGAGGAATGCAACCAAGTTTTGGTTGATTTGGAATTTCTTTCATGATGAGCAACAAGCATGGTGGTTAAAGATTTAACAGGAGACACAACACTTTTGATCTTGAGGTTGCAGAAGAGAAGAGTTGGGCAAGTGTTGGACTGTGATATATGATGGAGAGGGAAACAAACAATGACCAAAATAAGAAGCTTTGGGGGCATTCCATGGTGATGTTGTTGGGTTTCTTGGTGCTTCTTCTTCACCTTGAGGGAAGAACAAGTCAACATCCTACAACCCTAATGATATTGAAGGGAGAGAGGTTCCATGGGCAACTTGAGCCACCATTAATATATAGGATTGCAGGAGATGATCACCCACTGCCACTGCAACCGAGGAGGTACTGCTAATGATTCTTTAGCACTCAACCTCATCGAGAGAGAGAGGCCAACTTCTTCCCAGCAACCATCTATTGCGGTGCACTCTTCGTTCAACCCCCCCAATCAAAGAAGATTTCGAGTCCTGAGAGGCCCAAACCCCAACCCCAACCCCGACCCTTCTCTCTATGTTCTTACCTGACCTGAGAGGGTGGCCCTTTGTCTTGTTCTTGGCCTCCTGCCTGTTCCCTGCCCACTCACTGTGTCCTCAAGAAGGAGAAAAGAACCTTCTTTTTTGTCCTCTGTGGGATCTCCTCTCTGTTCGTTCGATCTCGTCTATGTGACCTCAAGTGTTGCTGAAGGTGTCCTCCTCCCAAATCATGGTGAGGCGCCATGGTTGGCAGCTTCCTGCACACAACTTCCAGGTACTCTTTCCTTCGAGTATTTCCTGTTTCGCGTTCAAATGTTTGCCTTCTGATTCTAGGAGAGAAATGTCTTCAGAAATGTTTTTTGTTCCTTCAAAAAGCCTTCTTGGTTGAAGGGTCCGTCCTTAGTTTAGCTTTTGGTGCCTTAAACCCTTGGTCTATGTGGCCAATCTTGTTCTTGCATCTTTCAAGTTTGATCCTGAGTGTCAAGTTTCATTGCCTTGATGAATTTGTGGTTATCTGCGTCACATCTGTGTTTTTTTCTTAATTTCTTTCTCATCTTTTCTTTCTATTTGTTGGTAGATCCAACATTTTCTTCACAAATTCTTTGGAATACGCACTGCGTTGCCTAACAATAGTCATGGAGCAACATTTTCCTGCTTTGAGAACTTTGGCTGTATCTGAATGGTTCTTGGATTCTAATGTATCCTCCCATTTCCTGCTAACCAGTAGAGGACTACCCGAAAAACAGAGTAAAATAAACAGAGCATAATCCTTTTCACAACCAAAAGAATAATGCTAGGCTAGAAGTAAATGACATGCACAAAACAAAAATATGTAGCTCAAGTACAAAAAAAGTGGCTCCTTACTTTGGTAGCATATGGGAATATTTAGAGAACAAAGAGGACATAACAAGTGCAAAAACAACATATTTTCATGCTCTTGTGTATTTCAGGATATTTTTATGTCTTGATTTTAACACATTATAATGTGCTGGTAAATTCTCTTATGCTTTACACTGACTTGTTTATTTTGCATCATTCATTCCTTCAAGGACTCATTTTCTTCTTCTGCTTCCATCTTCTGTAGGTTGTTGCTATAACAGTTTTCTTTCTTCTGGTTGTTGCATTCTATGCCTTCTTCGCACCTTTTCTGGGTAAAGATGTGATCGAATATGCTTCCATTGCTGTTTATACTCCTGTGGTAAGACTTCCTTCGCCCAATATAACTTATATCTTAACACACCACATATTTCTGGTATCAACTTCCATTATTGGGGATTTTTGTAATTCCTATTTGTGTTTCAGGCATTGACGGTTTTTATCCTTTATGTGCGTTGTACACGAATTAACCCTGCTGATCCTGGAATTATGTCAAAGTTTGATGATGACTCTGACAGCGAACAAAAGAGTGCTCCAAGTTTGCAAGGCATAGGTATAACTATAAAGTTGCAAACGATGCTATTGGAATAAGTTCTGCTTGATTATCAGTCTTTCAGGTTTCTTGGCTGTCTATTCTAATTGGCAAGATTTATCCATAGATGATTCAAAAGCAAATGCCCGGATGGGACCTCGAAAAAGAACTGCTCGCTGCAGTTTAATTGGATTTATTTGTTCATTATTTGTTAAAGAAGACTGTCGCAAACATGAAGTAACTGAGCAGCAACCTGATGAGGATGATGCATTGTTCTGTACATTGTGCAATGCTGAGGTATTGGTTCTAGATGACATATTTTCCAGAAATCTTCCAGCACATTCATTCTCTGCTTTTAAATTAAAAGTTAAGTGCAGGCTTATCATCGTGACATGAAGGAACGTATTTCATTTTATCTAATTCAATTTTTTCTCTTATCACTTGATTATATGCAAACACATACTTCAAATTGGATACTAGTTCTTTTCTTCTGTTCTTCAATATCAGCAGCAATCTGTTAACAAATTATATAATCTGGCTTGATGCCTTGATTCATGAAAGGGGCAGCATGGGAGGGTTCTTTGTGCAACTATAGTTTTTTTACTGTAGCATGGATGGTATGGGGGGATTTCAATGACTCACTTTATTAGCTTTTATACTTTTAGTATAATATGCATAATGTTATCAAAAATATTATATTAAGTTGGTGTGCTTTATTTCCTACACCTTAGCCTATCTCTTACTTTCCAGAAAATTATTACTTACAATGCTGTTGATAGTTTTCCATGGTGGAACGTCATTGGACTAAAATCACATATCAGATATAAGCGGTAAAATTATTTTTAAAATTCTGCTTTTCTTTAACAGCTTGTAGGTTACAGAGAATATTTTTGCTGGTTCATGACAACTTTATAGGTTCTTTCTTTTCTCCTCATATCTTAAACTTAGTTATTACAACTAAATCTTGTGGAAAAAGAACAAAAAATTTTATTGTTATTGGAGGTTGGCAACTATTAGATTCATAATTATGACTAATCTCAATGTCAATTTTGTTTTCTTTATGGATATGCTGCAGAGTATCTTGCATCTTATTCTGTCACCTCTGTGTTCGGTGATATTGCTTTTAGTTCTCTTCTTACATAATCTTATGTTGAACTTTTCACTTTGCAGGTATGCAAGTTTAGTAAACATTGCAGAAGCTGTGATAAATGTGTGGATGGGTTTGATCATCATTGTCGGGTATATTATGTTTTATATATCTTTGTTAGTATCTTTTTCATTATTAGCTTGAAACTCAGAATGTGTTGCCTATATGTCACACTTACTGGCAGTGGCTTAATAATTGTGTGGGGAGGAAAAACTACATTACATTTATAGCTCTGATGGCTACTAGCCTCATCTGGGTATGTATAAAATGTTGTTTCCCATTTTTCGTAACCTTTCTGACTTGTGATATGACTGCATGCTGACTATTCAGGTCTAATTTTCATCTATGTATTCAATCTACCAGCTTGCCATTGAAATTGGAGTAGGCATTGCTGTTTTCGTACTCTGCTTTGTTGATAAGAAGGGAACAGAAGCCAATATCAAGGAAAAGCTTGGAAATGGTTTTTCTCGTGGTCCAGTTGCTGCTATCATAGTAAGTTTGAAAGATCAAAGATGTCTGTTGCAATTATATGGGTTATTCTCAGTCATAATCAGTCATATTTAGAGTATTAACACTCGGTTTTTGCTAGTGAAATATTTTGAATGAAAAAGCATGATAGATAAAGCTTTTTTTATGACTTTCAAACAACACTGGCTGCTAGATAATTGCTCTGTGTTTTAAGAAGTCTGCTCCTTGGTATCTTTTTCAGATGAATCTCTCATGTTCTCTTTCTGAGACTTTGATGGACTTCTCACATTTTCATTGACATGATTTTGCTGAGACTTCCACTATCTTTGGTCATAACAGGCTAGATTCTTGCATTGATTACATTCAAGCATATTAGATCAGTTTCTCTGCTGATCAAGTGATCATTTTTCTACAACTGATTTTGCCTTTATACTATCCTGTGCTTCTTTATCACGATTGTGTTATTGCAGCATGAGTGTGAAGAATATAAGAAAACTCAAGTTTTAATCCCTTCTCTTAATGTCAAATAATTTTATCTTATATATGCTTCAGTTACTTCTGCAATCAATACTCTTAAACAGATTCCATTTGTTGACTGCATAATATGGTAACTTAGCAGATACAATGGTAACAATACCCTTATTTTGGAAATTCTTGCTTGTGTAGGCCATCTGTATTGCGGTTTCACTTTTAGCATGTGTACCTCTCGGAGAACTTTTCTTTTTCCACATGATACTGATAAAAAAGGTTTGTCTTGAAACATAGTTCAGCTACATTTAAAGTATTGCACGCATCAACAATTTCATTCCTTCCCTCCTTTTCTAGGGAATTACCACCTATGAATATGTTGTTGCAATGAGAGCAATGAGTGAGGCACCTCCAGTATCAGGAGATGAAGAAGAACCTAATACTCTTTACTCCCCTACGAATTCCGCAACAACCAGCTTAAGCATCGGAAGTTCTCTTGGTCTTCAATATAAAGGTGTATGGTGCACACCTCCAAGGGTATTTGTTGATCAGCAGGTGAGGCTTCACCTAGTATTTGTGCCACAGCTAAATAAATTGTGGAGAAGCAATTATTTTTGGACTAGAATGATGGAACCACTAAGATGATAATGCTTACGCTCGAGGCCGGCTATTATTACTTTTTTCTTCTCTGATTTTGTTGTTTTGCTCATGAATTTTGAAAAGGCAGCTAATTTCTATCCATGTTGATCATTCTGTTAATTTCTTTCATCAGGATGAAGTCATCTCTCATTTGGGGCCTGGAATGGTGCCTTCAACTGTTGATCCAGATGCAGTTGGGTCTGTGGAAAGAGCCAACAAGTCCAAAAAGGCTGTTAAGATTAGTGCTTGGAAGCTTGCCAAATTGGACTCTAATGAGGCAATAAGAGCAGCAGCGAAGGCCAGGGCATCATCTTCGGTCCTTAGGCCCATAGAGGCTCATCATGTGCCTCATACTGATGGTAGTTCTAGCGGCAACGCAAGCGTGCGGAGCAGCTTGAGCGCTGATTATAGTGCGAGTAAAGAATCCAGAAGTGAAGTGAAACTGTCTCCTCTAAGAAATTCCGAACTGCAAAGTATTGCTAGCAAGGAAGACTTTGAAACTGGCACACAAACCGCAAGCAGCCTTAGCAGTCCGGTTCACATTTATGAATCTGTTGCTCCCAGCTCACTCCCTTTGCAACATCCTGTCACCGAGCAGCGGCCACCTCATTTCATTCCAAGGGGTCCTCCAACTACCCAAAACAACACAATGTTCCAATCTTCTGCTGCAGTTGTTAGGGACAACAAAAGGGCTACTGTGGTTTGGGATCAAGAAGCCGGTAGGTTTGTGTCAGTGCCAGCTGCTGCTGGAATGGTGAGCACAGAGGTGCCACCTAGAACCTCTCGGGTTTCCTTGGTTAATCCCTCTCCAGAAACTAGTACTTACGACAGAAGAGCTACTCTGAAGGCTTCTTCCTCGATATTGCCGCCTTTATCACAACAAGAGAGATTGGTGTACACTGGACGGTCAATCTTTTTTGGAGGGCCTCTTCTAAATGATCCTGTTAGAGATGCTGTAACAAACAATAGCAGTTCAGATGTGATGCAAGGCAATAACAAGGAATCAAATGCAGATCATGAGGAGAGAGGAGGTAAATGGTAGACCCTTTCCCAATGTTCTGGAGCTAATATGATACCAAGTGATCACTGTGCAAGGACTCAAATTCTTGAGGTCGACTGCTGCTTGTCCAAGGTTTAAGGAACCATTAAGAGTGATTTCCTCTCCTGACGACTCTCGATTCTCCATGCATCTCATGACAATTTCTTCCCGTGATTAGAGCTTCTCTTTCAATCGATGTCTACCAAATGATGGTTTCATGCCTATGTTACTACCAAATTTTATAGACAAGCTATCATTTAATTGCTACATTTATTTGGAAGTTGCAATTGAATGCCCTTCTTTCACAATTGTTTGTCACTGTTGCCACAGATTTTTGGGGTTGCAAGTTAGTGAACAAATTGTAGTCTTATGTCCCATTTTAGATTGCTATCGAATGAAATATAAAGGAAGAAGGAATTTTGTGCAGAACTGTAGTCTTTTGTACAATCCTCCATGACATATATATA